CGCAGGGGCCGCCCGGCCGCTCTCGCCCGTCGGGCTGTCCGCGTGTCCGTCCGTCCAGGTGGCTGCTTCTCTGTCTGTCCGTCCGTCCGCCGCGGGGTGGGGAAAGGGGGGTCGGGCTGCCTGTCGGGGGGCGGAGGGGGGAGCCCTGTGTGCCCGTCGGGGGGTCTGCCCATCCCCAGGGGCACCTCTTGGGCCGTCTTTTAGGGTGTCTGTCTGTCCACCAGAGTGTCTGTCAGGTGTCCGACTACCATCCAGAGTGTCCATCTAATGGTCAGGGGTCCATCTGTCCCGCGGGGCGGCTCTTCATCCGTCCAGGTGTTTGTCTTTCCTTCATCTTGTGTGTCAGGCTGTCCATCTGTCCATTCCGGTGTCTGTAGGGCTGACTGTCTTTCAGGTTGTCYGTAGGCGTGTCTGTCTGTCCAACGGGGAGTCTGCCTGTCTATCGGAGGGCGCAACAGGGCGTCTACCTGCGCTTCAGGGTGTCCCTCTATCCACTGAGGGTCTRTCTATACAGCAGGGTGTCTGTCTGTCCAGCACGGTGCCCAATCACCCTCCAGGGTGTCCGCTGGAGCATCCATCCCCACCAGGCCACCTCTTCCCACCATGTACACATCCCTGCCGAAAAGGTACCATGTCCCCCACCACCGTGTCCCCGCTGCCACCACCCCCCTGGTGTCACGTCCCTCCCGCCGGTGTCCCCACCGCCGCCCCCGGCTCCTGTCCCCGGCTCTGCAGCGGCTCCCCCTTCGGCCCCGAGGCCACCCAGCCCGGCCTGCACGTGTGGCGGGTGGAGAAGCTGCGGCCCGTGGCCGTGCCCGAGGCCGCCGCCGGCGTCTTCTGCTCGGGGGACGCCTACCTGGTGCTGCACAACGGCCCCGAGGAGCGAGCCCACCTGCACCTCTGGATGGGTGAGCCGCAGTGGCATGGCATGCATGGCATGACATGGCACAGCATGCATGGTATGGCATGGCACGGCACAGCATGGCATAGAATGGCATGGCACAGCATGGTGCTGCATGTCGTTGCATGTCACAGAATGATGCTGCATGGTGCTGCATGGTGCTACATGGCATGGCATGACAGCATGCATGGCATGGCACGGCACAGCACGCATGGCACGGCATGGTGCTGCATGGTGCTGCATGGCACGGCGTGGCACAGCATGCATGGTACGGCACGGCATAGCATGGCATAGAATAGCATGGCACAGCATGGCATAGAATGGCACGGCATGGCGCTGCATAGCACAGCGCTGCACAGCACAGCATGGTGCTGCACGGCACTGCCTGTCACAGCATAGCGTTGCATGTCATTGCATGGCGCTGCATGGCGCTGCATGGCACAGCATGGCACGGCACGGCACGGCCCGCTCAGGGGACGTTGTCCCCCAGGACGCGACTCGTCGCAGGACGAGCAGGGCGCCTGTGCCCTGCTCTCCACGCAGCTCAACGCGCTGCTGGGCGAGCGCCCCGTGCAGCACCGCGAGGTGCAGGGCAACGAGTCCGACACCTTCATGGAGTACTTCCCCCGCGGYGTCCAGTACCAGGTAGGGATGCCTGGCAACCCCTGGGTGCCGAGCAGCCCCGCTGGGTGCCTGGCAGCCTTGCTGGGTGCTCAGCAGCCCCACTGGGAGCTCAACATTGCTGCTGGGTGCTCAGTATCCTTCTTGGGTGCTCAGCATCCTCCAGGAGTGCTTAGCCCCCCCGGTGGGTACCTTTCATCCTTGGTGGGTGCTCAGCATCCCCACTGGGTGCTCGGCCTCCCCACTAGGTGCTCAGTATCCCCAATGGCTGCTCTCCATCCCCTTTGGGTGCTCAGCATCCCCACCAGATGCTCAGCCTCCTCGCTGAGTGCTCGGCCTCAATGGGTGCCCTGCATCCTCGCTGAGTGCTCAGCCTCCTTGATGGGTGCTCAGCATCCCCAATGGGTGCTCTCCATCCACCTTGGGTGCTCAGCATCCTCACTGACTGTTCAGCCTCCTTGCTGGGTGCCCTGCATCCTCACTGAGTGCTCAGCCTCCTTGATGGGTGCTCAGCCTCCTCGCTGGGTGCCCTGCACCCCTGGGTGCTCGGCCTTGCCATGGGCGCTCAGCACCCTCCTCGCGTGCCCAGGAGGGTGGCGTGGCCTCGGCATTCCGGCCGGCGCGGCCGGCCCCTGCGTCGGGCGCCCGCCGCCGCCTCTACCAGGTGAAGGGCAGGAGGACCGTCCGGGCCAGCGAGCGGGACCTCAGCTGGGCCAGCTTCAACACGGGCGACTGCTTCATCCTCGACCTGGGCCAGGTGGGACGGGGGGCTGGTGGCACAGGGACACCCCCCGCCCGGGTCACCTCGGTGACACCGGCGCCTCTCTGCCCGGCCCAGAGCATCCTGGTGTGGTGCGGGGCCAAGGCCAACGCGCTGGAGCGCAACAAGGCGCAGGATTTGGCCACCGCCATCCGGGACGGCGAGCGGGGCGGCAAGGCGCGCGTGGAGGTGGTGGCTGACGGCGAGGAGCCCCCCGAGATGCTCCAGGTGACCGGGCGCACCCAGGCGGCCCCCCGCGCCGGCCTCGGGGGCTTGAGGATGCCACCGTTCCTGTCCCCCTCCAGGTGCTGGGTCCCAAACCAGCCTTGCAGGAGGGCAGCCCCGAGGAGGACGTCGCGGCCGACCAGAGGAACGCGGAGGCCGCCGTCCTCTACAAGGCCAGGAGCTGGCGGTCCTGGGGGAGACGTGGGGCTGGGCATGGCTGGGGGGGCCCTGGAGGGGACGCAGGGCTGGGCACAGCCATGGGACACTGCCATGGTGCCCAAGGAGGCTGCGTGGCCGGGGGACACCCCGGTGGCCCCGTGGTGACACCGTGGCCGTGGGTAGGTGTCGGACGCCACGGGGCGCATGGACCTGAGCCAGGTGGCCGCCAGCAGCCCCTTCAGCCAGTCCCTGCTCTGCCCCGACGACTGCTTCGTGCTGGACAACGGCGCCTGCGGCAAGATCTACGTGTGGAAAGGTGCCCGCCGCAGCCGGGCGCGCGGGACGGGGAATGTCCCCYGGCTGGCGCCCGCGCCCAGCTCGGCCCTCTCCCTCGGCAGGGCGCAAGGCCAACGCGCAGGAGCGCCAGGCRGCCCTCGAGGTGGCCGAGAAGGTCATCGCCCGCATGGGCTACTCGCCCGCCACGCAGGTGAGCGTGGGGCCGGGGTGCCCGCGGGACCGGGGTGCCCGTGAGAATAGGGTGCCCGCGGAGCCAGGGTGCCCGTGGGAATGGGGTGCCCAAAGGATTGGGGTACCTGTGGGACTTGGGTGCCCGTGGGACCGGGGTGCCCGTGAGAACAGGGTGCCCGCGGAGCTGGGGTGCCCATGGGACTGGGGGTACCCGTGGGACTGGGGTGCCCACAGGATTGGGGTACCCATGGGACTGGGGTGCCCRTGGGACCAGGGTGCCCACGGGATCAGTGTGCCTGCAGGGCTGGGGTGCTCGCAGGATTGGGGTGCCCATGGGACTGGGGTACCTATAGGACCAGGGTGCCTGCAGGACCGGGGTGCTCGCGGGGCTGGGGTGCCCATGGAGCCGGGGTGCCTGCGGGGCTGGGGTGCTCGCGGGGCTGGGGTGCCCATGGGACCAGGGTGCCCGCCAGGCTGGGGTGCCCACGGGATTGGGGTGCCCGCAGGGCCGCAGTGCCTGTGGGACCGGGGTGCCCATGGGACCAGGGTGCCTGCGGGACTAGGGTGCTCGTGGGACTGGGGTGCCGGTGGGGTGCCCGTGGGGTTCCCAGCACGGCCCCGTCACCCGCTGCGCCGCCGCAGGTGGAGATCCTGCCCCAGGGCCGCGAGAGCCCCCTCTTCAAGCAGTTCTTCAGCAGCTGGAAGTGAGGGACCGGCCCCTGGCACCAGGCCCGTCACGGTGGCACCGTGGGGACGGAGCCGCCCCTGCTCGAGGTGGCAGCTTCAGCAAGCACGTCACCCCTGTGCCCACGCCACCTCCATGTCCCTGTCGCCCCTGTGCCTGTGACACCTCTGTGCCCACGCCACCTCCGTGTCCTCACCGTGTCCATCACCTCCATGTCCCTGTCCCCTCCATGCCCACCCCAACCTCTGTGCCCATGCCACCTCCACATTCTCACCATGTCCGTCACCTCCGTGCCCACCCTAACCCCAACCCCTGTGCCCACGTCACCCCTGTGCCCACGCCACCTCCGTGTCCTCACTGTGTCCATCACCTCCATGTCCCTGTCCCCTCCGTGCCCACCCCAACCCCTGTGCCCACGCCACCTCCACATTCTCACCGTGTCCATCACCTCCATGTCCCTGTCCCCTCCGTGCCCACCCCAACCTCTGTGCCCATGCCACCTCCACATTCTCACCGTGTCCGTCACCTCTGTGTCCCTGTCTCCTCCGTGCCCACGCCAGCCCCCTGCTCCCACCGCCCCATCAGCTCCCCGCCTGCGCCCTCTCCATGTCCCCGCTGTGCCCATGCCCACCCCCTGCCACCCCAATCCCTCCCTGCGCCCCTGCCTGGCCCCCACCTTCCCCAATCCATGCCCCCAACATCACCCTCGCCCCATCCCAGCAAATAAAGCAACGCTCCCGAATCCCACGGCGCTGCTCCGGGTGCCCTGCCACCCTGTGGGGAACAGGAGCCCATGGGGACAGGAGCCCATGGGGACAGGAGCCCATGGGGACCCACTGGAGCACCGAGACAAGAGGGGTCCCGGGCCCCCCAGGCCCTTGGGGGCTCCCCCCACAAAGCCCCACGCTGAATTTCCCCCCACTTAAAACCCAGTCCAAAGCGCAGCCCGGCCGCAGCAGCAGCATTTTGGGCAGAACAGGAAGAAAATACATCTATATAATATAGCAGGAGGAGGGAAGGAGCCAGAGCCGGATTTGGGGAAGGGGCGCAGCGGGGGCTGCAGGAGCGCGGGCCGGAGGGCACCGGCTCAGCCCCAGCCCGCTGCCGGAAAAGCCGCCAGTTTTATTGTTTCCGGGTGAGGTTCCCGCGGGAAGTGGAGGTGCCGGGATGGAAGAGGCCCAGAGGCAAAAAAAAAAAAAAAAAAGCGCAAAAAAAGCCAAAAAATCATGATCTCTTTCTATTTCTAAAGCGACATGGAGGATAAAACCCGCCGAGGGTGGACGGCGACAGCGGGACCGGGCTCTTCCGCATTCACAGTGAAGTTGGGGCAATGGGAGGGGGGGCTCCCGCCCCCGGGAGGTTCCCGTTACAAAATAATAATAATAAAATACAATCAGCCCCCCGCCCAAGCCCCCAGCCGCTTTGGCCTTGATTTGCCCCAAGCAAAGCCCCTCTTTTGGGGGAAAAAGCCCCTGCAGCGAGAAAAGGGAAGGATGCCCCAGTTTGGAGAAGGCTGTTCTGGTCTCTGAGAGCACTTGGGGGGGTCCAAGGGCAGCCACSCCCCGGCCCGGGGTCCTCGGAGGTGGCTCAGATGGGAGAGCAGCAGCCGGGGTTGGTCCCGGTGCCGGGGGGAGCAGCACGATGGCACTTCAGGAGGAAGGAAAGGAAGGAAAAAAAGAGAGGAAATAAAAAAGAAATAGGGGAATTAAGGGCGAAACGAAAGGAAAAAAAATGGAAGAAAAGAGGAAAAAAGAAGAGGAAAAATGGGAAAAGCCACACACTGGTTGGAAGGGCGGGCTGGGAGGCGAGTGCTTTGGGGGCCGCTGGTGCTCCCCGCTCCGCTACTCAATGAGCTCCACGTAGTTGGCGGGGAACATGCCGAAGTGGCCGTCGGGCCCGTAGCCGCGCCACCAGCCCTCGTCGATCATCTCGATGTTGGTGATGATGTTCTCGGGGTCGAAGGAGATCTCCGTGTCGTCGGCTGGAAGGGGACGGAGCGAGATGGAGAAGGGGGTACCGAGCTGAGSCCCCCCGTTGTGTTTTCCATGCAGCCCTGGGGCTTACCGGCTTGGTAGTCGTAGAGCGCGCGGGCGCAGAGCCCCTTGCCCGCCAGGTCCGGTGTCTGCTGGTACTCGGCCCCGTAGCCGTAGTTGGCATYGTCCGTGTGGTCCTGGAGGACAGCGGGAGGGTATGGAGCCTCCCCGCTCGGCTCGCTCCATCCCCGAGAAAGGGATGGGAGCGGACGAGAGAAAAACAGAGCGGTGCCCACATCCCGAGAGGAAGGCTTTAGCGCAGCACAACCCCTTAGGAGACACTAGAGAATCCAAGAGGAGGCTGCATCTCCCCGCCGAGATAGGGGATGCCCTGAACGCGTCCCGAGCCGTGTCCCAGCACCAACCTGAGGCGGTTCCTCGTAGATGGCCCCGTGCTCGGGCGGCTCCTCGTACACGGCGGCCTCTTCGGCGGGCGGCGCGCCGGCATTCCGGCCTGCGGGAAGAGGCGCAGCCTYGCGCCGTGCTCCTGCCGTGGCCACCGGCACCGTGCCCAGAAGCCACCCGAGCCCTCGGATGCCACCTGGGTCTCCAGCCCCACRCGGGGGAGCGGGATGCTGAGATCCCAGAGACTGGGGATTCGGGGAAGGATGAAACGGATGGGGGAGAGCTCCGGGATCTCCAGCGGGGAAAGGGAACGGGTCCGGCCAAGATCAACACTGAATCATTTCTCCTTCCTCTGCCAAGCAGTTCTCCTAACGATCCAAGTCGGAGCTCCGACATGGAAAACTCTTGGCTCTGTCCCGTGTCCCTCCCGGAGCCTCCGGGCAAGAGCAGCCTCTAGTGGYGGCCGCAACAGGAGGCTCCCGCGCTCAGCGGTCCCCCCTCGTCCCCGGGACCTGCGGGAAAGGTCCAAGCTGGAGCTTGGAAGCTCCTGGGCCCTTGGTGGATTCACACCTGACGTGGCTCCTGGTGAGTCCGGAGGCGTCTCCTGAGCAGAGGGATGGGGGAAGGAGGACGGCGGAGCCTCCCGCGGGGCCGAGGCGACGGTGGCGGAGGCTGGTGGCCCYGCGGGCTCCTTCTGCAGGAAGGGGCTGCGCAGTTTGCCTAAGGGAGAGTCAAAACGGCCACGTGAGCTCTCGCCTGGGGCGACACATSGGTGCAAGGACCATCACATCCGCATGCCCATTCCCATTTGCCCAAGCCTGGAGATTCATTTTTCCTCCTTTCTTTCATTTTCTTTTTCCCCCCTACATCCTCCTCATGTGAAACCTCCTCTCTTCGAAGGCGGAAAACTGCCGCAACCCGACAGAGCCCCATCCATCCCAAATCCACGCGCCCATTCCCAGGGCGGCGGGACAGCGACCAGCCAACGTCTCGCACGGCCTCGGTGCCACTTCCTACCCGGCTGCGAAGCCGCCGCCGCCGCCGTGTCCGCGGGCATGGACCTCTCCCGCTGCCTGAAGATGTCCCGGGGGTTCACGGACCTCTGCGCTATGAGCGAGGCGGCCTCCTGCCGAGAGGAGCGGCCGGAGGGAGCCGAGCGATGGCCGGAGGGAGCCGAGCTCCCACCGCGTCGCCGCCGCCTCCCCGCGACCCACCTGGGCTTTCTCCACCGACTCGCTCCTCTTGAAGCCCTTTCGCTGCTGGGCCTCGTACTCCTCCGCCTGCTCCTTCTGCAGCAAGAGAGCAGGGCYGTTAGGTTCCCCGGAGAACCGGGAACAAGCGATGGGAACGGCGGGACAAGAGCCGGGCGGGTGACGCGGAAGCCCCGCTGCAAAGATCCCAGCTGCTCCCCATTGCCGGGGACGGGCTAAAAGGGACAACGGTGACRGGGACAACGGCGATGCTCACCCACTGCTGCTGCTCCCTGTCCCTGCTCTCCGCTTCCTGCTGCTGCTGGAATCTCCTGGGGTGACAAAAGGGAAAATGAGGTTCAGGGACAGCCAGGATGGACCCAGGCGGATGCAGGGGCTGGCCGGATCGGGTTCATCCATCCCATCTCCCAACGGGAAGGCAGTGCCCATTCCTGCTGGGAGCGGGAGCTCCGGGCGCTCCGCGGGAGCTCCGGGCAGGAAGGAAGMGGTGCCCCCCTTCCCTTCCCAGCGCCCCACTCACTTCTGCGCCTCGATCTCGCTGGACCTCGCCTGGTACCGCTGCTCGCGCCCGGCCGCCTCCTGCAGCTCCCGCTCGCGCCGCTCCCTTTCCAGCCTCTGGCGCTCCTCTTCCGCCCGCCTCTTCTCCTCCAGCCGGCGGTTTTCCTCGTCTTTCTACAGGAAGCACCCAGTCCTGGTTTTCGCGTTCCCAGAGGCCCAAATCCCTCCTAAATCTCATTTGACCCGCCGCAAAAAGCAGCTTCTCTTCCCAAGAAACGTCACCCCCGACCGCAAAGGCAACCGCATCCCGCGTCCCCGAGCCAGGGGGCAAAGCTGGAATGGGGGCTGCCGACCCAGCCATGCTAGGGATCCGAAACCACCCGAGAGGAGAGCACGGCGAGCTCAGCCCTGCAAGGAGAYGTGGCTTTTGGCAAGTTCCCCTTGGGTTTTTAAAGCCACTTCTTGTTGCCAGGAGCTGAGCCCGGAGAGCCCAGGGCCGCTCACCTCTGCTTTGGCCCAAAAATTGTCCTTATTGACTCTCTTGAGCTCCGACATCGCGTTCGTCTTCTGATAGACGGAGCCCTGCAGGGAGGTAGGGGAGGATGAGTGTGAGAGCCAGCGAAGCTGGAGCATCTCTTGAGGAAACGTCGCTTCTTTGCTGTGTTTGTGTCAAAAAAAAAAAGAAAAGACACCTTCCTACAAAATATTTCCATGTGGACAGAAAGGAAGGTGTCAACATCTCCAGTGAGCTCCACGCTTGAGAGAAGGGTTTGAGGAGCAGTTCTGAGTTTTGGCCAACGTGCTACACTGAAGCCCATGGGGACCTTTCCGCCCCGTTGCTGTGGGGTCAGGAGCAYGGCAGGTACCTCCTGCTCTCCCATGCCGCGAGCCCGGGAAAGCTCCCAGGAACGGAACTCACCACCGGAGCCTGAGGACCCGAATCCTGGAACCTGCTGCTCTCTTTGTGGAAGTTGTAGTTCGCCCCYGAAGCCTTGGCCACCTTCTCCATGATGAGCTCCGGCTCCACGTCCTCCTCAGCGCGAGCGTTTATGGTGACGTGAGCGCCCTGAGCACGAGGAGAGGCACCGCGCAGAGGGGACGTCACTCCGGAGGCCACCGGATCCACGAGCACGCTCCRGTCCCCCCCGATTCGGGGGGAGCGCGGCGGGAAGAGGAACGGACCTTCAGGAAGTTGGCTACGGTGCTGACGTGGTTGGCGCAGGCTCCTTTCCGCACGTCGTTGACACCTTCCCCTGTCTGCAAAAAGCCACCAGCGGGACCCGCTCACCCCGCAGCCCCCCACGTCCCATCCTGGAYTATTCTGGGACTATTCAAGGGCCGAGGAACGGCCACCACAACGTGAACCAAGGCRAGGGGCTTGGGGGGCTCGGAGCAACGTTAGCACAGAAGGATGGCCGCGTTCCACCCTTGGGGCTCGCAGCCTCCCGCTCTTCTCCATATCCCTCATATTCCATATATTTCATATTCTACCCGTTCCAAACGGCTCCCTTGGGTCCTATCATCTCCACCCTCCAGCAGCAACGCTGGGACAGGGTCCCAACGATACCATGGGGGGACCCCAAGACGGGCGAGCAGGGAGAGCCCCCGGAGGCGCCCCGGGCACTCACCCAGTTGACGAGGACGTATTTGGGGAGGCCGGAGTTGGGGTCGGTGACCCTGCAGAAGGCGTACATCACCTTGCCGCTGTTGAGCTCCTCCACCATCTCCTGGAGGCCGCCGGCTGCACCGGGAGGGGACACGGGGGGACCGCGGCTGAGGCGGGACGCGGCGGTCCGCGCAGGCGGGAAGCCGGCCCCGGAGYGCCGGGAAGTGGGTGGAAAAGGAGGGGGGAAGGTAAGGAGCCCCCCATCCCGTGCTCACCTCCGCTGCCGGCCACGCGCAGGTCGTTGCTGTTGCCTTCATAGGTGAAGAGAGCCCTAAAGCGGCGGCGGGGGCGGCTTCAGCGCGGGATGGGGGGTCCCGCTCCGCCTGCCCCCCCCCAGGGACCCCTGAATCCCCCCTGGCCCCCCCAAGGATCCCTGGACCCCTCCCATGCCCCCTATATCCCTGATCTCCCCCACATTCCCTATATCCCTGACCTCCCCCACACCCCCTATATCCCGGATCTCCCCCACACCCCCCACATCCC